TAATTCATACCACCCACATCAAAGTGTACGGCTTTTTGGATGGACAATTAAAAAAAAAAAACCGAACCTTTTAATAATTAATCTCATGATTAATTATAAATTAATCACTTAATTATGTTTAATTATTCAATTAAACATAATGCTTAATTACCAAAATAATTTCGAACGTAAACGGTACGTCGAAAATAATTTCCGGTAATTTCGACTGAAGTGACTGAAAAATAATTAATTCCGAAAATTAATATCGGAACTAAAAATATAATTTATACTGAAATTGACGGGATATTACAATCCTCCCTCCTTACAAAATTTCCGTCCTCGGAAATTCTAAACATAACTGATATACATGAACTATGTACATAGAATAAAGAAATATGTACATCAAAACTGAAAATCTGAGAAACGAGCGCGAATATCGGACTCCTCCTCCCAAGTAGCTCCGTGGCGATCCCACTGAATACGCACGAGGGGAATATCTCGCTTCCGGAGCCGACGAACCTGACGGTCTAGTACAGCTACCGGTCGCTCCTCGTACGAAAGGTCTGGCTGAACCTGAATATCTGAGTGGGGAATAACATGATCGGGGTCGCACACGTACTTACGCAACATCGATGCGTGAAATACATTATGAATGCCTGATAATTCGGGAGGTAGGGCTAATCGATACGCGACCTCGCCTACTCGCTCGAGAACCTCGAACGGACCGATGAATCGAGGGTGCAGCTTCTCTCTCTTTCCGAATCGCACAACTCCGCGAATCGGACGAACTCTGAGAAAGGCTGGCTCACCAACCTCGAACTGAATGTCTCGTCGATGATGATCGGCGGAAGATTTCTGTCGACTCTGAGCTGTCCTGAGTCTCTGCCGGATCAAATCGACCTGATCTGCTGTCTCCTCGATCAACTTAGGACTGCGTATTCGCCGCTCTCCGACGTCGTCCCAATAGAGAGGGGAACGACACTTGCGACCGTAAAGTACCTCGTAAGGAGCCATCTGAATAAAAGAATGGTAGCTGTTGTTATACGCGAACTCGGCGTACGGCAACAACGACTCCCACTTAGCACCCCTGTCAACAACCAAAGCGCGAAGCATATCCTCAAGCATTTGAATAGTCCGCTCTCACTGACCGTCCGTCTCCGGATGGTAGGCTGAACTGAACTCTAGCTTCGTGCCCATCGCCTCGTGTAAGCTGTGCCAGAATTTGCTGACAAATCGGGGATCTCTGTCTGATACAATAGTGACGGGCACTCCGTGGAGTCGGATGATCCCACGGGTATATATCTCAGCCAATTTGTCCAGAGACATCTTCATCGAAACGGGTAAGAAATGCGTGACCTTAGTCAATCTGTCGACCACGACCCAGATAGCGTCGTGATGTTCAGACGACCTCGGCAATCCCGTAACGAAATCCATCATGACTTCCTCCCACTTCCACATCGGAATCGGCAGTGGCTGCAGGAGGCCAATCGGACTCTGGTGTTCGGCTTTAACTTGCTGACAGGTAAAACACCTCCTGACAAACTCGGCGACGTCCTTCTTCATACCTCGCCACCAGAACGACCCTTTCAGGTCGTGATACATCTTCGTGCTCCCGGGATGGGCTAGATAGGGTGCGGTATGAGCTTCTGATAAAATCTCTTTCCGCAACGCCTCGACTTTCGGGGCCACGATCCTGCCTCTGAACTCTAGGGCACCATCGGCACCTAACTGGAAATCCTCGACGCCTCCGGCGCGAACCTTGGCCTCCATAACACGAATGAACTCGTCAGAAGCCTGCTCTCGCCGGATTCTCTCTCTCAGCGTCGGCTGCAGCTGCATGACACTGACATTGGCACTGGTACTCCCTGAAACTGTTATGGGAAGTGCATCAATTGCCTGAAGCTGCATCCGGGCAAACTCCTGAATCAACGGACTCTGCTGAGTAATGATGTACGTCAAGTCACCCCTCACCTTTCAGCTAAGGGCGTCAGCAACGACGTTCGCCTTTCCCGGATGATACTGAATTGAGCAGTCGTAATCCTTGACGAGCTCTAACCAACGGCGCTGTCTCATGTTGAGCTCCTTCTGAGTAAAGATATACTGCAAGCTCTTATGATCTGTGAAAATCTCACAATGACCGCCGTAAAGATAGTGTCGCCAAATCTTGAGAGCATGAACGACTGCTGCTAACTCCAAGTCGTGCGTCGGATAGTTCTGCTCATGCGGCATAAGCTGACGTGAAGCATACGCAACGACCTGGCCATCCTGCATAAGGACACATCCCAAGCCCTGTCTCGAAGCATCGCTGAAGATGGTGAAACCTCGAGAAGGATCGGGAATAGTCAACATTGGTGCTGAAGTTAATCTCCTCTTGAGCTCCTGAAAGCTCGACTCACATCGGTCAGTCCACTCGAACTTCACAGACTTCCTCGTCAGCTGGGATAGAGGGAGGGCGATCTTGGAAAAGCCCTCGATGAACCTGCGATAATAACCAGCTAGACCGAGAAAACTGTGAACCTCGGACGGACTCCTCGGTGTCGACCAGTTCTGAACGGCTGAGACCTTGGAAGGATCCACCTCGATACCTGCCTGAGTAATCACATGACCCAGAAAGGATACTCGCTGGAGCCAGAACTCGCATTTGGAGAATTTTGCAAACAATTTTTCTCGTCTGAGGATTTCGAGAACCACCCTCAGATGTTCCTCGTGCTCCTTCTGGCTCTTCGAGTAGATAAGAATATCGTCAATAAAGACGATAACAAACTGATCGAGGTAGGGATGGAAAATACGATTCATGAGGTCCATGAAAACTGCTGGCGCATTGCTGAGACCGAAAGGCATGACGACGAACTCGTAATGGCCGTAACGAGTCCTGAAAGCGGTCTTAGCGATATCTGACTCCTTAATCTTCAGCTGGTGGTAGCATGATCGTAAATCAATCTTTGAGAATACACAGGCTCCCCTCAACTGATCAAATAAGTCATCAATCCTGGGAAGCGGATACTTGTTCTTGATCGTCAACCGGTTAAGATCCCGGTAGTCGATACACATGCACATGGATCCGTCCTTCTTCTTAACAAAGAGAACGGGTGCTCCCCAAGGTGACACGCTCGGTCGGATGAAACCGAGTCGTAACAGCTCCTGAATCTGCGCCTTAAGCTCCTGCAACTCCTTAGGCGCCATGCGGTACGGGGCTTTGGATACTGGACCGGCTCCTGGAATGAGATCGATAGAGAACTCCACCTGCAGGTTAGGCGGTCCTTCTGGAAGCTCGTCTGGGAATACGTCCACAAACTCTCGAACGACTGGAACATCGTGAGGTGAATGTGCTTTCTGAGAATCATCGACAAGGCTCACCAGATAACCCTGGCAGTTGCCTCGTCACAACAACTTAGTGGCTTTCGCCATCGAAACAACATGAGGCAAAAAACGATTTCTGGAGCCGAAGAAAGTGATCGACTCATCTCCCGGAAGATACAGAGTAATCTCCCGGTCGTGGCATCTGATATCCGCATGATAAAAGGATAGCCAATCCATTCCGAGAATAAGGTCGAAATCCCTCATCTCGAGAACAAACGCGTCGGTAGACAAAACTCGGCCACCGATGGAAAAACTAAGATCTGAAGCTTTAGCTGAAGTTACTATCTTTCGTCCCGAGGCCAAACTCACCTCGAGAGGATCGATAGCGGCAGTAGCGCGAACTCCGATGGCGTCAAGACATCGTTGTGAAATGAAAGTATGTGTCGCTCCAGTATCGAATAAAGCAAACACAGGAACATTATTAAGAATAACCATCCCTGACATGGTACCTGGCTGCTGTTCGGCCTCTGCCTGATCGACGACGTAAACTCGGGCTTGCTGTCTGCCCCTCTGCTGCTGCTGTTGAGGCTACCTCTGTGCCTGCTGACGGGGCTGCTGCTGCTGCGGTGGCTGCTGAGGCTGCTGCGCCTTCTTCGGACAACGGTTCGCGAAGTGTCCGGGCTCGTGACAGTAGTAGCATACATCCTGACCAAAGCGACACTCGCCTCGGTGAAGTCGTCTGCATGTCGGGCACTGAGGGATCTGCTGTAGCCTCCGTCGGGTCCTCTTATCTGCCGGGGCACCTTTTCCCTTCCTCTTGTTGTTCTTGGGTGGCTGGGTAGATGGTAGAGCTGGCATCGGTGGAACTGAAGATGACTGAGCAGGGGCGGATGGCTGGAACTGATCACGGACGGCCTCCCTCCTAATGCTGGCATCCACCTCCTGGGCAATGGAGACTGCACGTGCGTACGTCTGTGTCCCGTGGCCTACGATGTTATGACGGACTGCTGGGTAAAGCCCGTCAATGAAACGCTGCGCTCGTTGGGCCTCTGTGCGGACCAAATCAGGAACGAAAGCTACAAGTCTAGTGAATTCCCTCTCGTACTCGTCAACAGTACGAGTACCCTGCTGGAGCGATAGAAACTGACGCTCCATCTCTGCTCGGTAGTATGTGGGGTAGTACTTCTCGCGGATTAAATCCTTAAACATCTCCCACGTACATCCCGCCTTCTCGCCGGGACGCATGCTCCAGTAAGCGTTCCACCAGAGCCTGGCATCCCCGGTGAGCTGAAGCTGAGCGCAAACAACGCGATATCTCTCAGGGCACTCCATGACCTCGAAGATAAACTCCAGGCCCTGAATCTACTCGTCTACTATGCGAGGATCTCCTTGCCCTGAGAACTTTTCGGCATGATAGTCGCGGAACTGAGCGACCACTGTAGCCTGAGTAGGAGCCGGATGATCGGGTTCCCTACGTGGCGGCATCTGAACATTGAGAAAGTTCAAAATTATTGAACACGTGATGATATTCTGACTGATTACTGAGGCACAAAAATCTCTTGACGAGTTGCCAAAAATGGCCGATAAATACTGACGTGAAACCTGAGGAACTCTAGAGTCATATCGGAAGATACTAAGGTCTAGAGTCATGTCTGAGTGTACTGATCTCTAAAGTCAGGTCTGAATATACTGAATTCTAGAGTTATCTCAGAACTCTAAAGTCTGAACCTGAATCGAGCATCTTAACTAAGTCTGATTACTGATTTCTGAGCATAGACAAAGTAATATGTTTATAACTGAAAAACTGAATCAGCACTTACCTGGAGTCGGCGAGGCGTGAGCGTGACGGTTCAGGTTTTTCTGAAAAATTACTGACTGAAAAACTTTTCAGAGAAGCAGAAACGTGCTCTGATACCAATTGTAACACCCCGACTTTTAACATATCAGAGTACGCGATTTTTCGCAATTTTTCTTAATAAAACATAAAACATTAATTTTTGCGAAAACTAATTCGGGATGCTACCGTGAAAAACTTGATTTTTCTGAAAACCGTTAAAATTTTTAAACTGATAAATAAAAACGGTTTATTGTCTTATCCGACTAACGTTGGAACAAAAACTGATAATAAATACTGAAAGTTTTAGCGGAAACCAAGCGTGGCAAAAACATATATACATATAATCACAAATGTCCTGAACAGCCCGCCCGCTCACTCCTCGTCTCCGACCCTGCGACTTGAAAAACATGAAAGGCGTGGGGCGTGAGCACTAAAACACTTGTGCTCAGCAGAAACTCATACTAATGTAAACATCGTAAATAATAACAATATCATGAACTAAGCATATAT